ATTAATGATGTCTGACTAGGTAAGCAGTGTTTTTGTGACTAAAAACACAAACCACGTTGTGAATTTTAATTACAGTATATGTGTTTCTTTTGTCAGTTTGGTGATGAAAGTAAAAGTTGGTGTAACATTTTCCCCATAATGCATAATGGAAATAGGTTTCTCTTTTTACAATGTTTCACTATATGAAAGGGTTTCTGAGAACAAATTACTTTAGGTACAGGTGTATTGTGAACTCTGAATGAAAAAGGGACTCTGCATTTATGCAATGATCATTTTTAATTTGGCCTGAACATTTGATTGCAACTTTTTCGTCATGGCAGGAAGTGTTCTGCATTGTCCAACTCATTTGGATAGGCAATATTTTTTTCACTTTTGCTGGTATTATAGAAATCATGGATTGTGTTTGTCTGAACATAATCCTGACTTCTACTTGAAAACATCACCAAAGGGAAGAAAAAGTGTTATCAGGGGGAATACTTTGTTTTGTTTTGTTTGTTTTGTATGGGTTTATGTAAAATCTTATACATTCTTCTTTGTTTACTTTAATATAGAATCCCTGTAATTACTTGCAGTTTGAGCAGAAACCAAAACAGTTAGAAACTAGAACAATTTTCATGGCATTTAGCTTGCATATCCTTTTTCTGCTGTAATTGTTATTTGGAAAAGATATTCCATGATGAATTGTTAGAAGGTGAGTTACAGCAATAAAGTTTGCTATTCAAATAGCAAATAGCAGGTGCCAACTTAAACAAATCCACTTATCAAAAAGATTATAAGTCCCAATTTATTTATAAGGCAGCAGACATTGTTACAACAAAAGACCAAATTACAGTCCAGGTAGCTGTTTTTCCCAGAGTTCAAATTTGACCCTGACTCTGAATGTGGTTTTGACTATTAAGCAGGTATGTAACTTAAAAAAGAATGACTGTAGCCACCAAACATTTCAATCTTCACCCATTGTGTTTCTCCTTTTTTATAGCTCCTACCATAATACACCTCACAAACAAAAAGGCATGTACTAAATTAATTTATTTAATTAGATTTTTTATTTCCATTCTTTTAGAAGAATTTTGTGTTCAACATGTGATTTCAAGCAACAGTTCATATTGAAATACATTCCCTTTAAATGTAAAAGTTAGAATTTAAATGGATATTGCTTTGAGGTAATAATAAACATTTAATATTGTTATGATATGAAAATGAAATGCAGTTGGTTTAGGGTTTCACTGTGTTACTGGCAGTATCACAGAGTAGTGCAGTCCTGCAACAGATTATTCAAAAACCTAGAAATGCAGTCTGCGTCAGTGAATGAGGTGCTGTCCATGACACCGTGGCAGCCTACGCATACTGATGCAGGTACCTACTTGAACTACTTTAAATATAGGCTTTCATAATGGTGTAGTAGAACAGTCATTAATGTAAAAGGACAGTAAAATAACTGAGCTCTTAAAACTACTTATAGTGAAAGTTATGACTGGTTCTATAGTAGTAATACAATATATTACAAATCTTAGATTACACATCTTAAAATTTAAAATTTAAAATTTAATCTAAAAGGCACCAAAGTAAAAGTACAATATGTTAGTCTTTTGCAATAGTAGTAGGAATTACATCTTCAGCATTTAATTTTCAGAATTATTTATATAAATGTCTTAATCCATTATAATGAATATATCCCAATTTCCAAATAGCAAATAGCAAACACAACCATCCCAGTTAAACATTGGTAGTTAAAACTGAAAAAGATCTGAAAATAAACATTTCTAGACATATTTCTACATCTGACATCCTATGAAAACAAATTTCTTGATTGCAAATATTTTAAAGAGGTTTTCTATATAGATTTTGTTCTACTACTACTTTGACAATTTGTCTGTCATCTAAATTCATCAGTAATTCTGAGCTTATTGTAATGCTAATAACAGTGATTTGATTTAGCAAAAACATAGTGATCTTTTCAGGACTCAGCATCTATTCCAGCTCGCACAGGGATACAGAAGATCCATGGGTATAAACCCAAAATCCTGAATAGAGAGGCTCACTAAATGTGGTGTTGAATGTGTGCAGGAGAGTTACTGTATCAGTGGAAACACTGAAAAATGACAGAGAACCGGCTGGCCAGTCAAGATAGACTCCTACTCTGTGGGAGGAGGGAACAGGTATGGCAATCTTAGTTGTCCCATGTCGGGCAGAATAACTTACATCAGAGCACTCCAAGCTCCAGGATTTATCATTGTGTCCAAGGTAACAATTATCACTTTCTCCTTTTCTATCAATTCCTTTGTAAGTGACTGCAATTACAGCCCGATCCCCACTCCATTCAGCCTCCCAGTAGCAGCGAGTGCCAGATAGATCCTCTCTGCACAGCACTTGAGTCCAGTGGTCAAATCTTTCCGTGTGATCAGGATATAGCTGTTTCTTTTTCACCCATTCCACTTTTCTGTTCCCCTCAGACAAGATGAGCTGCCTGTGTGCTGTGTTGGGATCCAGTGTAAGCTGACAGGCATCTGCACAAAAGAAAGAGTTAAGAAGAGAGAACAAAAAAGTACAATAGAAAACAGGAGTCTGCTGCAATAGTATGAGTTTTGATGATTGATGGGGAATAATTATATGCTGTTAGCCACTTCACATAAACACACACATGTAACTTCCTGAAGAGGACTTAGGTTTTCAAATTGGTCAAATTTCCACACAGTTGCACACATTTCTGGAGTAGCAGAGGCAGGCACCATAATCTGGTGAATTCCATTTGACCAATCACACCCTACCTGCCTTCTTATTTACTGGAAAGCTGACACTGAAATCACTGAGGTAGCTACACTTTCAATAGTCACACAGGTAATCTTGTTCACAGCTTGCTCATTTCATGATCTCCTGCTCACTCCTGCTCTGAACAGGTTGTCTGTAGCTTGTCAAATCTCCTTGCCCATCTCCTCTGGCTGACACATGCTCCTACCGGAGTTCAGATCTTTCACTAACCCAATGTCTCAGATACTCATGATTCATGTGTCAGTATTGATTATGAAGTCTGCTAGGTTAGCTATTTCAGCTCTTGTTACATATCAGTGTATGACATTCCTTTGAGCTCTAGAATCTACCTGGTTGCTTTTATCTGCAGTGATTTTGCATTCATGCTGAACAAAATAAACAAACTCTTCTAAATTATGTTTCTTTACGGTGCTATATATACAATTTTTGACATAACATCCCTTAATACTGTTACAGCTTTAAGTGACTAGGAAGTGTCTCTTAGAGTTTAGATAAAGTTTGTGAAACCTGCAGAGTAAACACTTCTAGCTTCAAAGTAGTGAGGATGTTTACTGAGATGTGGGAGCACCCATTCATTTTGTGGCACCCGGGGTGCAGAGAGAGAGATTTAACTACATGTATTGCATTTATTCAGAAAAGCAGATTATCTCTTATTTGACATTTGTAGGCATTAAAAGTTTAATACTTAGTAGAAGTCTGTTTTTTTGTGATTAGGATGTTAGGTCTCTGATACGCCTTGTTTGTACATTTTGTGAATAGAGGAACTTGTGTGTTGTATGTTTAGTTGTGTGTTGTGTAGTGTTTCTGTTGTCATTATTAATAAATCTTTGTTTAACCAAGTGTGCCTGGATTATTGCTCTTTTCACCAAACCTGTGCCAGAGAATAAAGAATTCAAGTGACTTTAATTATACCAACCGCTCGGGTATATTCTAGAGAAATCATTTACTAGTTGGGGTATGAATGATTATTTTACTTATTGACTTAACCACTCAATCAATTTCTGATTTTCACCATTTTCATAACTCCCCATCCATAATAATATAAACTACTCCTTCCAACTTTAAGGAGCATTTTTGTATTTTTAGCTAACTTCATTTAATATTCTATACTTCT